TATATATATATATATGTGTGTATACACATTTCTGTTCGCCTGTCAGAATTGATCAGTTATATGAACGAGCAATAGTAAATGAACAGTATAGATGATGCAACAATCAGTTCACCGATTCAATAACCCACTATAAGATTTAATCATTTGGAGATTTCTTTTTCTTCTTAAGCATCGATAGTAACAGAGTAACGGATATAACCTTGCATTGAAACATAATAGTAAAAAAATGGGACGTAAAAAATACATTATCTATATTCTTTTGACAAAAAAAAAAGAAAGAAATACCCATCCTGACTCATTTATATCTTCCTGAAACAGAACGCACTTTAACCTTGATATTTCTTTTTAATTCATGAAGATATACACCACTGAATACATATATATGTCTCGAGCATAGTCATCATACTTAACAAAAAAAAAAAGAAATGATTATTTTCAATTAGACAGATGACATGTTTCAACATCATTTTTTTTCTTATTTCCTCTCTCTCTCTGTTTTATACTCTTCATATTAGAAATAACTCGATCTATGAAGGAAAAAAATTTTTCGTAATGAAGTAGAAAGAAAAGCAAGAACATTCAATGTTTGGGTAGCCAAGCGATATTGACACTACATTGATTAAATCTCGTGTGTCATTTAAATCTATTTATTCGTTTATTCCATATCAATACCCATTCTAAACATCTTTGAAGAAAAAAAAGAGACGAAAGACTAACGTCTTCAAGTCATCTGTTCTTCTCAAGGTAACGAAGCGCGTAAGTACTTTTCAAATGTCTTCTTCTATTTCTTTTTTTTGTTATTGTTTCTATTCCAACGAACACTTGCAATATATATTCATAAGATTCTTAACACAATATTCATCCTTTATGTTTCTACAATTGTAATAAATAAACCTTGAAAATGTGTGAATAAGTCGGTAGTTATTTCTTCATTGTTTTTTTTCACTTCGTCTACATTATTGACTTAAGATACGTACAAAACGTCTCAATGCAATCTTAGTTAAGTTTTGTTCCTTGAATGTTCTATTTATTTGGAGACATCAATAAAAAATGAGTTTTCGACGTATACATATACAATGAGTAGTCTCAATGTCAAACATGTCTACAGGTGTTTCATCATTACTTCCTTTTCTTTCTCTTTTTTATATACCCATACGTATGCCTATATATATATATTTATTTATATGATGTTTGATGTCTTTGAGATAAAAAGTAGAGTTCAAATATACCATTGACTTTGACTCTTCATCGTAACTAACATATGTATACCATTCCTAATCTTTCATATGCCTATTACGATAATAGTACTACTCTATAACAATCCATTGAAGAGATAAATATACTTATTCTTTTTCAATGGATAAATAGAGTACTAGCTTTTATGTAATACGTTTTATGTATATATATGCGCCATAAATATGTTATTCATGCGTACTGTAACCTTGATATTGTTCAGTCTGCTGTTACTTTTTCTTTCTCTTTATTCATATTAGTAGAAAATGTTATAACTTAGAGTTTTTTTGTATTTTTTTTCAAATATTAAATATGAAAAAGAAAAAGATTTCATATCGAATAAGAAAAGTTAATCAGATCAATAGTGCGTAATTGAACCGTTTTCCAGGGCCAATCTAAGGTTATAAAAGAACCCGAAGAGAAAAAAATCACTTGTTATTTGATGCGACAGATTGAATCGTCATATTTTATATATATTAAAAATAGACTCGTTACTAGCTTCGTCATCATCATCATCATATCGTTGTTGAATAGTTAAAATGAAAGATTGTTTATCATATTGCACTTTATACATTCTCCTTGTAGAACTGACATGGTCATTAATTTTTCCGTAAATTAGCAGAGAATATATATATACAATTGTCTGATCGTATATGTTTGATATGTATATATGAAAGAAAGAAAAAAAATTGATGCCATGTATTATTCTTTCTGTCTCTCCTTTCTGTACTCATGACTGAACAGCCCTTCTCATTTAGTTGAGTCAATAAACTAACTGTACATACATACATCAGATATTTTCTCTTCTTTCCTTCCATTCGCTTGCTCACTTCATAAATTAAGATTCTCTTTTTAGACCTATTGTCCATCGATACAACATTCTCTCTGTTAATCAGTCGTCAATCTACCAGCTCCTTCTCTCCCTCTCTCTCTTGCTCTCTTATTCTCTCTTATTTACACAAATAAATGTATATATTAGGGTGAGTAATCTTTGGTCGAGACAACTTTTCGGTTCATTAGTCAATTGCTCTCCGTAAAATCTAAGTCATATATATTCATTCATCAACGCACACGTACAAATTATATGTTCATTACATTCCTCTCTTACTTACGCAATCAAATAAAAAAAAAGATCCTTATCATTTCTTTATATATCTTACAAAAACGATAATCGACATACAATCATTACAAACTTTATTCAAATAAGTTTATATTTCAGAATGAATAATGCACAAATCTATATCTATTTTCAACTATTTACTATTGTTACAACATTATTATATCCATGTTACTATATCGATTTAAATGAACGTATATTTAAATGTGATATATGCAAATGCTTATCATCACCATCACCAACAACAACAATATATTCTACATCAAATTTTTGTCAATTACCTTTACCATTAACTTGTACGAATAATTCTAATGAAGAATTTTTACGTTTAAAACTTAATGAAATTACTCATATATCTGATCAATCAAAAAAACAAATTGAATTTCATAATTTTAATACTGAAATCTTGAACCATGAACAAATATGTTTAATAAAAAATTTCTCTCAAATAACATTCTTTAATTTTATATATAATAATATTAACAATATACCAAAATGTTTATCAACGATATCATCATTACGTTTTGTTAATTCATTTATAAATAATAATTCATTTGTATCAGAAATTTTAACTTTTTATAATACAACATTTAATATAATGAATTTTAATTTAAATTCAACAAAAATTTTAAATTTATATTCAATTAAATTTTTAATTAAACCATTTGAATTGAAATCATTATCAACGTTAACACATTTAACTATAACATCGACAGACGATTTTTATTTAATTGGTTCATTTCCACATTTATCCTATCTTAATTTAGATAATACAAATGTAAATGATAAACAATTAAATAAATTATTCTCACAAACAACTATTCCAGATTTGATAACAATGATTTTATCAAATAATCAAATAACAACAATTACAAATAAATTTCCATCAACAATACGTTATTTAGATTTATCAAATAATCAAATAAAATCATTAGATTATTATTCATTTAAATCCTTATATTCATTGAATATATTAAACTTAAGTTTAAATTCACCAATAGAAATTCAACAAGATACATTTACACGTATACCTTATTTAGAAATACTTGATTTAAGTTATACATTACCAACATTATCGTTTGATGATTTATTTTTACCATTACAAAAACTTCACCATTTAAATATATCATCGAATTACTTAGATACTTTACCTCATTTACCTATACCACATGATGCACATACTATTGAAAGTTATGATCATCATTTACCTGTACTATATGTTGATCTTTCAAATAATAATTTTGAAAAAATTGATTTAGAAATATTTTCATCACCATCAACTCAAGATAAATATATAATTTCACTTAATATGAATTATAATCGTTTAAAAACATTGAAATATTCATCGTTATTATTAAATGATACAAAACGACGTGGACCATTTATTGAATTAGATATTGGTAATAATCCATTAGAATGTGATTGCAATTTATACGAAACTATTAGTAATTTATTACAAACTAATACATCGCATCAAAATCAAAATAATGCACAATGTACGTATAATTCAATTTCTATAAAGCAGTACATTGAAGTTTTCACTATCTATGTGATTTTAAAATACGATATATCATATAGCTGATTGTATTCTAAAGTATATTTCCGGTATAATAAGGATATATCAATACCTATTTTCATCTCATTAAATGTTATAGATACTTAATGTGACTTTAGTTATCCTAATGTAATTACTAAACATGTTTCACAATAATTCTTCTGTAAGTTTTAGTTCCAAGGTTATATCAATCATAGTGCCAGAAGAAAGTTGATATCTTCATCATTGATATCAATATTTCTTTTAGCTCACATTTCATACAATTTATGATATTTAATATGTCATCAATGATAGACATGTTCATCCTCTATAGGAAGTTAAACTGACTTATATTTGTTCAATTGTTACATATTTACTGTTCAATGTAACTTCAATTATAGAAAAAAATTCTAAATACTAATTAGACATGCAGTTATATTCAATAAGAAAATATAAATACTTCAAATTTATTTTATTGATTATGAACTAACCTAATCAATTATCACACTTTATTATCTTCAGTAATTATGTCTTGAGTGTAAAAATTTATTGAAAACTACTAGATTTTATAGCAAAAATAGTTCTCTACAAGTTAACATGATAGTCAATTAGATTTTTATTTGAAACTACGAGTAAACTGAAACTTTAAGTCATACAGATGATATCGAGTCTTCTAGAATATTACAGAACTCAATGTCCATTAAAATATATGATATAATTCACAGTAGATAGGAATATTAATGAAATATCAAAAGAGTGTATATTCAATAAGATTGTTTGTTCATGTTTTTAGCAAATTTATCGTTTCAACAAACACCTCCAAATGGTTTTCATTCAACTAATCTTCTTTATCATCTTCGAACACGTCGTCAATATTATCACAGTTCATCTAATCATTTTCATAATAAACAAACTCGTATTAAAATTTTACGTTTATCTCATTTAACATGTATCGATATGATTGAACCAAAAATTCATCGAACTTTATATGATCTCAATTCATCAAATAGTCTATGTTCATATAAAAAATATTGTTCATCAACGTGTCCTTGCTGTTCATCATCGTTTTTTGCCAATGATTGTATTTGCTATTCTCAATGTCCCATTGAATGTTCATGTGTACGTTCTTATGATTTAACAACTAATTATATAAATTGTTCAAATCATCAATTATATCAAATTCCGTTAGATATTCCGCAATCGACAACACATCTTTATTTAAATAATAATCGTTTAAAATCAATTGAAAGTAATTTAACATATTTAAATCATATGAAATATCTTTCATTAGCAAATAATTCTTTGGAATATTTAACAAATGATGAATTTTCTACGATGATTCATATGGAGATTTTAGATTTATCATCAAATTCTATTGAAAATATTGAATCAAAAACGTTTTCAAATCTTAAAAATCTTAAAGAACTTTATTTACATAATAATCGATGGATACCAAATTTTTATAATAAAAATAATGAATTTCAAATGAATATAAATTTAAATTTTTTAACATATGCAAATGGATTATCATGTAATAGAACAAGATTTCCTTCGACATTTAATTATGACAGACCACTTACAGTCGAAGATTGTTGTATAAATTCACATACAGAATCATGTCAACAAACATTTCGTATTGATAAATATAATCTTAAACATGATGATAATACAACATATTCAAAAACATTTTTCTCATTATTTTTTCATCAAAAATATATTCTTATTGGTTTTATTTTAATTTTATTTCTATTAATATGTATTATAACATTCTATATCAATCGAAGAAAACGACAATTTTTAACGAAAGAAAAATTTTTATCAAATAATGAAATAAAACAGCAAGCAAATCATTATCATACAAAAGGTATAAAAACAAAAACTCAATTTTTCTTATTAATTTCAATTGAATATATTTTTCTTATTCAGCTTTAAAAACTCTTACTGAATATAGTCATCACGAAAATGATAATTCAATTTCATACACTGATGAAGATGAATATGCTTCTATTCCTTTAACAACATCTCAAACAGATTTAAGTTCTGTTCTTCATTCTCAAACAATTGTTCCTCCACTTCCACCACGACGTCTTTTTGTACCTAATCGTCCTATTTCTCATTCATCAACAGTATCAACATCAATTACAAGTCAATCAATAACAAGTCGATCAATAAAAAGTCCAAATTCTTCATTATTAACAACAACAACAAATTCATGTTTACAAATCAAACTTGATGTTTTAGTACTCTATTCAATAAATGATAGTAAATATATTCATGAAAATCTTGGTGTACAACTTGAAAATATGTATGGAAAACGTTTTAGTTTTTATTTTATACATCGCGATAGAATGTTAGGTGAACTTGATTGGTTAATTGAAAATTCTTGTATTATTATATTAGTTCTACGTAAACCATATAATTTAATACATGATTATATGAAAGTTTTATCAACATATTCAACAATAAAATGTTTTATTATACTTATTAATCAAGATCATAATCATCAATTAATATCAATAAAAGCACGAGAAAAAATAGCACGATTATACCGAACATCGGATATATATGAATGGAATTCTAATATAAATGCATTAATACATGAACAATTAGAATTATTTCTTGAACAAAATTGTGGATCAGCTACTTATGTTACAGATTAATATCTCAGGTCAAAATTACTCAGGAATTTATTAATTATAATTTTTGTTACTGTCTTTTTTTCCGGTGGTATAATCGTTGAATTTATTGTCTGACATGTTTTTTTTTCTTTGTTTGTTTGTTTATATGTATATGTAAGGTTTTGACAAATATATAATGATAATAATAATAATAATCGATAAAATACAATTTCATTCATATTTATTTCTAAAGTCAACTTGATAAAATGAAATAACAGTAAAATTCATATATTTATTTTAAATATAAAGTTTATACAATATTTTGTAGGCATGCAACAATTCCAGTTCGGTTCGGTTCCAATTCTAGAATTGGTTAGAATTGACTCAAAATGACTGGAAATCGTAGGAGCTTTCATGTCATTTGCTGAAACTGATCGGAGCTAAGACTAGATTAGTGCGGAGCACTATAAACTACTGAAAATTGATCTGATTCAGCCAGTATTTGTGAAAATTTTTCTACAATTGACTTAGAATAGAAATAAACTTTTGTTATTTCTATTCCAATGTATTCTAATTTTTATTAATTATAGTGCTTAAGAATTAACAATAGTCATTCAGTTTTGTGTGAGTTCTGATCAATTCTAAGTCAATTATAGAAAAATTTTCACAAATACTGGCTGAATCAGATCAATTTCCAGTAGTTCATAGTGCTCCGCACTAATCTAGTCTTAGCTTCGATCAGTTTCAGCAAATGACATGAAAGTTCCTACGATTTCCAGTCATTTTGAGTCAATTCCATATCAATCTGAACCAATTTTAACCAATACCAATTCTAGAATTGGTTGGAATTGGAATTGGTGCATGCCTAATATTTTGCAAAATAAAAACTTTTTAAAACGCTCTACTTATGTATTGGAAGATGTCTGAATAAGAGGATACTTTTTTTTTTTTGAAGAAAGTGATTGTAAAACATTAAAGTAACTATTTAAAATTGGAATTGTAAAAACTCTTAATTTTCATCATGTAATTAAATATGAATTCCTGACTTTGAGATTTGCAATAAATATGAAACTGGAATAGAATAATAAAAGTTGCAAACAACTATTCGACAATCATGTCATTCGAGTTTGCATTAAAGATAATAACGAGAAGATGATAATACTAATAAATTTAGTAGCACGCAGACATAGAGAGCTGTTTTTAGATGCATTTTTGACTTGTTATTGTTTGTTTAATATATATGGATGAAAATTGGTACTTTGCACTTTTTCATAAGTACAATTATTTCCATATAAAACCAGTCATAGAAGAGATCGCAATGATTGAATGATTAAGTTGTTCGGTACAAACTCACAAGGTACTATGTTTAAAACTCGACGTTACTAGGCATAGAATGACTCTGAACAAGTCATTAACGGCTATTTGTCTCTGATCATTCCATCCGATAGCACACTGCGTTATTAAAAGGAAGAACTCAGAGTCAGACCAGCTTTCTATCCAGAGCTGCAGCTAGTAATAATTGTAGAGAAAATATGGAGCTTTCAACAGTATCTTCAGAAAGCACTTCATAATCGGAGGTAACCGAAAGGCAGGGAAGTTAATCTACTGACTTTCGTTCAAATATTATTGTTTTTTAGCAGACAATCGAAAAGAGATAAACAAGCAAAATAAGTGATTGAAAAGAATCAATCAAAATGCAAGTAAATAATCATATAATTTCTAGGCAATCACTCAGTACAATGAAACTGCTTTATTAACTATTTATTACTTTTTCAGACCATATAAATCACAATCTATATCTATGTATACTTAGAATTATCGTAACAGATTAATAATGATGCAATCATATTGACCAACAGTACTAATATAGAACCTGTAAATAATCTTCAGCTATGTATACATGATTATAAGTTATATACTTTATAATTTGAAAATTTGTTAATTAATTTAAATGGTTTCTGTACTAAACAAATAAAAATATTGTAGATCATCATCAATTACAAAAAGAAATCTATAAAATGTTGAATATTAATAGAATAAATTTACATATAAATTCATTAAAATATCAAATTTTATTTCTTTGTAAAAAATATTTATTAGTTTCAATTATTATAATTCACTATTGTTCAATAATATGAAAGAAATATTCAATTTTAGGATGGAAAAAAGAAAATTACTATAAAAATAAATTGATCTACAAATAGGCAGACGATTAAAACAACTTTGATGTAACACTTAATGCTTTTCAACCTTCATCTATTCTATGTCCATATCAGAGGCAAAATAAACTTACTAAATACTTGAATATGCTGATGGAATCAATTAGAACTCTCTTCAATAATGTCGTCTTGCTTCTGTTTTTTTCTCTGTTCCTCTCTCTCCCTTTACCTTCATTCAACCTGTGTGTCAATATGTACATAGAGGTGAATTGAAATAATACGTCTGTTTGTTCTTTTCTCTTCGAAATTTTACTTTACTCTCATGTCTTTTTTTTCTTTTCATTGATTGTTAGCATTTCATACTCTGATTTTTTAAACTTTTACATTAAAAAGTAAAAAAAAAGATGAATGAAATTCGTCAATTATGTACAACATCTTCATCACCCGGCAAACATCTAGATGAAATTCTTGCTCTTTTTCAAGCATGTCCACCTCAACATCGGCTACCATCATTATCACTTATTGGTCAATCAATATCATGTATGTCAATTGAACAATTAGATATAAATATAATAAACCATCCATTATTTCTTGTTATACGACATTCATCGGAACGTTTACTTCAATCATGGTTAAATAATACAACATTAAATGGTCATGAATATCGAGCTATATTTTATATATATCAATTATTTAAACTTGTATCAGAATGGTTAATCGAACAAGATCATATGGCTTTAGACAATAAAAATAAAGAATTAATAAAACGTATTATTAAAAATTTATTTCTTGAAGAAAATTTTATTAATACATTATGTCGAGTCATTAATCAATTGATTAATAATGAAAATGATGAGCAACATAGTTTAATAGCAAGTCATTCATCTGTAAGTTAGCTAGATTTATTAATAGAATATTTCTTTATTTTAATTTTTCTCAAGGATAATGACAATCATGTCTCACCAGATGATATACAATTTCAAACGCATATATCAGATATTCAAGCTGAACAAGCTGACATTGTAGATGTATTATTTCGTTGTGTAAACACATTACTTACTCTTTATAGTCATCCAATACTATTAAATAGTTCTTTAGTTGATCAAAATTTAACATCATGTATAATAAATTGTCTTAATACACCATTATTTATTCAACTTTCAACAGAATTTTTACGACAAAATATAACATATGATCAAATCAATATACGTTCCGTATTTCTTTTATTTACATGTCTTGATTATTGTATATCATCAGCAGTAACACAATCAACATTACAATTACTACCATCAATAAATCAAATATTTCATATTTGGTCAGGGATTTCACATAATTTCGATGATGATATATCACCATTAATTATTCGTCTTATTCGTTTCATTAATCAATTAGCATTTATAGATAAAGATGCAATTATACGAGCAAATCTTTGTTCTTATCTTATACCATATTTTGATATTTTATGTCAAACATCAAATTTAATTGATGATATATCATCATTACTTGTCACACTTTGTTCAACAACAGTAGGTAAAAAACATTTACGTCATTTAGGTTTTGTTCCACATATATTATATGGAACAAAACGTTATGCACAATTATGGCGTCCATTAACATTTTTAATAACTCAACAAGATTTATATGAAACATCGCTTTTAAAACGTCTAATACATTTATTAACACAACGAACAATAAATATATTTCAATCATTAACAACAGCATCGAATGATACATCATTTGATTCAGCATTACCATCATCAAAAAATCATGTTACTGAAATCGCTATTGATTGGTTTATTTTATTACGTACAAATTTTCTAACATTTTTACTTATTACCGATGGATTAATAAATTCAACAAAAAAAGGAAACTTTATTAATATGTTAATTGATACAATTTTATTCGTACAACAAGATGATGATATTCATCCAAAACTTATCGATGTTATGATTGAATTTCTATGGACATTCTCTTTTAATACATCAACAAATATTCATGATAGTTTACAAAAACGTATTGATTTATGTCAATGGTTAAAAATGAATACTTCGGAATCAATTCCAAGTATACGTCTTACATCACAAGGACTTCTTTCAACTTTAGATTTAAATACGAAAACTCTAAGTAAAAAAAAATTCTTGATTTTATAAAAAATTTCTCTTTTATATCAATTATAGATCGTTCAACAGTCAATCGTCATTCATCAATACCAACAAATAATCTTATTTGTTTGATTAATGCTGATGAATCACATCGTGATTTATGTATGACACTTCGTGATCGTCTTCAAATCGAACAACAATATTCTGTTGAACTTATTCTAACTTCAACATGTCAATCAATTGATTCATTAATTCATCTTATTAATCGTTCATCACTTGGCCTTTTTTGTGCAAGTATACAAATGAAAAGTGATAATTTATCACATTTTATTCATTATTATATGTCACATCAATCTCAAAAAATTCCAATGTTAACAATTCTTACTGAACAAGATTGTGAAATCAATGGTAATTGGCTTGAAAATATTCCAGTTGTTGATAAACAATCAATACTTAAACAAATTCGACGTTATTTAAATCAAAATGATGATAATCAACTACTACAACAACAACAGACAAATAATAGTCATATACAACATAGTATAAATTCTGATGAAATACATAATCAATCAAAAAATTATATGCAACGTCCTGTTTCATATTGGTCAGCAGATGATGTAACTCAATGGTGCGAAGCAGCACAAGGTAATTTTGAAACATTACGACCATTAGTTAAACGTTTAAATGGTCCAGCACTTGTACATCTTGCTGAAATCTTATCAATTGAACCAGCATCAATGTATCATAGTTTAAATAGTGAACTTATACAACGAACTGGTTCAAATGTTCCACTAACAGAATATGTTTCATTACGAAGTGAATTACAACGATTACTTATACAAAAACAAAATGAATGTCTTACAACAAATGCTAGTATGAATAATAAACCAAAGAAGAAAAAATGGAGACACAGTCGTTTTTGTACTTTAATTTAATAATGTTTTTAGTTCATTAGTTGATCTTTATTTGTCAGATATAGGTAAAATGAATTAAACGATCTTAATAAAAAACAATTTTAAATTCATGATGAAAATGCTTTTCTATAAAACAATAAGAGTAAGAACTGATTTGCTTACATCATATTGGTATCATCTGGTAGAAATGTTAATAAGTAAGAAAAATGTACTCCGCCTTTTTTATGATGAGATAAAAATTTTGTTATGTAAACATGAAATATTTAATAGATATTACTATCGATTTAGTAACAAGTATAAAAACAGAATCTTCGTAGAATAACGTGAAAGTTAGACAATGGAATTTATTTTCCTATCCAGACATATGTTTAAAATAGTAATTGAAAACAAACTTCATTTGTATAGCTGTCTAATAAAAAAGATTTAAGAAAAAGTTTGTGATTCTCTTTTGAATGAAATATGAATGTTCATTATAGAAATCATTTAAAGAGTGATATTATAGTATCTGACTAAATAAGATACTGATCAGGATTCGAACTCTTTGATTGAATATTTAACAACGGTATTTTTAGAATCACTTCTCAACTTAATTCAGTAGATGAATCGATTTTTCTGTGTTTAGATAGAAATGATTCACACAGTTTAGATGGTATGTCTAGTGGGAAATCAAAACGTAACAACGCCTGATAAATAACAATTCCCATTGATTAATTCTTAGAGGTATCTCTTTAATATCATTACTCTATAAATATCTTATTGAATTAATTTCTTAGAGATAAGAAGCTTCTGTCATATTAATATCAACACTATGTGATTATAATTTTATAAATTGACTACATTTTATAATATAAAAACAAGTTGTATTGTCCAGACGTAAAACATACTTCGCCTACTTAATATTCTGTGATAATTCAGCTCAGTATATAATACAAATTCCTTATAATTTTCAATATTTAAACGGTAGGATTAATTTTAAAATGCTATCAATTGCTATTTAATTACTGTTTAAAATAATGCCTTATAGCTATCAAATAATATGACGTCAAAAAAATGACAAGCTAATAGGTCTTAATCTAGACTTTTAGAGTACTGTCAATTTATAAACATATGACTGACACATTCTGATGGTTTTTTCCATCTCAAAAAAGATGCTTATGCCAGATAAGTATGTTGCTTGTTTTTATTCAGTCAAAGTCATATGCTGTTTTGCCTTGTCAATATTCTCTTAGTCATTCATTTAACTGAAACAACATTCTGTCAATCTTGTCATCGATGATTTTCATATACATCGCATGTATAAATATTGAAAGACAATCATGTGTTTATAAATCAGAATGCAACGAAAATTAATAGCTTTAAAAATAACCCACAATATTGATTTTACTAGAAATATATCATGAGATCAAAAAAAATGAGATTCTATATATTTATTGACTAGAATTATTTGATTATGAAATATACTTTATAAAACAGTATTTTTTCTAACCGAGAGAAGAAAAAAAGACTTGATTAAATTCTCTTGAGAGTATGTAGCTAAGTGTTAACAATACGTGAAAACAATCCTTCGAGACAATATCAGCAATCAGCACGTTTAGAATTCTATGAAGGAAACATTATTATTTATTATAATTAATATGATAAATTCTTTTTTTTTCTTTGTGTATACATGCATTTCGGAAATATAGTTAAGCAAGATAAGTTAGACAACATTTCGTCGTTCCTTTTTTTCTTTATCATTGTCACGGTATTGTTGATAGATGCTTTTATTGTTAAGAGCTTTAGTATATCCTAATCAAATCGACGAGACAATTATTGATTGAGAATAACTATTGAATAAATGTATCTGATTTGCATGTTGTATGTGTGTATGTATATATAATAAAGAATATTTAGTACATAGTTTTGTTATTGTGTCTTGTTGATGGATATTTACCAGTGTTATTACGTACAAGTTTTTCTTTGTCACTAATATTCTTCAAGTCTATTTGTGTAGGAGTATCTTATCTGTTTTTATGTATATATTACAAACAAAGATAATATCACTGATAAGTAAGGCTATTAGTACTATAAAAAAAAACATATATGTATTCATGCAGAAAAACTATATTCGATTTTGGTATTTTCTATCATCTTCTTTTTCTTTCTCTGTCTATTAATTGTTCGAATAGAGTAAACTTGCTTATTGCTTATTAATAACAAGAGAACAATATTAAGAAGTAATATATATCTGAAGCGAGAAAAAGCTTTAGTCATATGTATGTACACATCACTTTTGTTAACGGAAAAGCAAAAAAATGAGCCTAAAATAACAATAATAACTGTAGTAATATTAACAATAAAAAAAAACAATTGATTATGAAGGCGTAGAGTATTTTTTTTCAAAGAGAGACAGTCGTCATTAAGAGTTTGTCCTTCTTCTTCTTCTTCTTTCTATTAAAAACTGATGTCAATGAAGAAGATAGAAACTAGAAATAAGGACAAAAAAAAACTATAGAGGAAATAATGGAATGATGATGATTTTTCCATATTGAACACACAAAATGTTTTTTCTCTTATTTTTTTGACGTTATTTCTATTCTCTTTTATGAATATTAGTTTCGAACAACTAATGAGACAACCAGTAATATCATCGGATGTGGAGAAGAAAAAAAATCAGATTGTTTAGATAGAACTAGGTAGTTGCGTATTTGATATAGATACATTTATTTATATGACGATAAAAAGAGAATAATCAATTAATAGATTCTCGACTTCTCATTTATAATCTGTGAACTCTTAGATTGATAAAAATAAGAAGAGAAATGTCAAGATATAGTAACAGAATAAATACAAATATGAAGTCAGAACAATAAGAAATAAGAAAACAGAATCTCAATACTCATTTTCGTCGTCTTATTTCTTAGATGGCAATGACATTAAACTCATTTGACGTTGAATACCACTTTTCTGCCGCCTTCTTCTTCTTCTTCTTTTCTCCTCCTTTAACCACAAGTCTTTTTCTCATCATATTGTTACTAGATGCATTGGGACAGCTGTATATATACACATAATACGGTTGATATAAGTATTGATCTACTAAAGACTAGTATCTAATGCATATGTATATATAATTGGCGTCTTGTCCTGAGTTTGACATACACACAGTTACTCTATAGATTAAGAAATACTTATTAGAAATCTTATTTTTCTATTCAAACTTTTCTTTGATCAAAATAATTGATCCATATATATGCATTCCGTAAGGTATTTATTGTTATTTTCAGTAACTTTTATAAATATTTGTTAGTATTAATTGATAATATTTTTCTCTTCTATTATAGATTGAAGATATATATATATATATATTAATTAAAAACTAGCGATTCAGAAATAATGATTGAACTTTTCTCTTGTCTTTTTTCTCTCTATTTATTTTTCATAATAGTTGCGATGTAGAAAAAAATGTCTCATTTAAATTGAGTTAACAAGTGATTATAAGAAATAGTATAGTACTCTAGCTATGTGTTGTTTTATCGACTGTGTGAAAATCAAATGTTGATATATATTTTTCTTTGGAAAATTTATATACATATACTAGAGCTAATAGACATGGATAAAATTTGTATAGGAGAGAAAAAGCGAAGACGTAATTGAGGATACTAAAAGAGAAGAAATCGAAGAAAAAGAGAAAAAAAAATAGAAGATGACTCGAGGGAAATAACAAATGTGCCATGATGAAAAAAAAAATCTCTCTCTCTATATATGTTGTTAAATAAATACTTTTTATAGGAAGATCGCTGCGTTAACTTGATTAGACCTAACTACATATCTTTCTTGCTATTTTTATCTTAAACGTTAAAATTCCTTTTTTAGAGCCAATCATGATTAAATTGCTCTCTGTAATTTTTTTAACAATTATAATAAATACCAATGAAGCAACTATAATTATACCTAATGCAGTGTCAATAATGATTAATTCTACTATTCATAATCAAACAATATCATCAACTGATTCAGTTGTACATCGACCAACAAGACAAGTAACATATATTGGTGCAATACTTGCATTTGTCTTTATTTTTTTTGGTCTTATTGGTAATGTCATTCTAATAACAACAATATTATCTGTTAAAAAACTTCGAACAAATACTATTAATATATTCATTGTTTCGGTAAGATGAAATTTTCTATTTTAAAAACATGAACAATCGCTTTTTTTTTCGTGTGTTCCCTAAATCAAGATATGTATATACATATACATTTAAAACTTCCGTTTTCTTTTTCTTTATATTCAATAAGAGTAGGCGGACCGTCTATAATAAATAGAAAGAAAAACATACCGGAAATCATTTTTACTTATAATAGTTCGATCATCTACCTTGAAAATAACTGGTGATTAGGTTTTTTTTATTGACTATAGCAATTCTGTTACGTAAATATTTACAATAAAGTTAATGAGTTCGTTATAAAGAATAGATAATTAAATTTTTTATTTGTTGACTAATAAATCTCTTAGATATGAATTAAACGAGCAAATAATTCGTCATCTAATATAATATTAGGATTTTTATTTTTTTTGAAATATATTAATTATTTCACATAACCTTTATTTTCTATGAAAAGAAAACTTAAGGACTTATCTAGATAAAGATATATACTCTTACCTAAGGTAACAAAAGAGTACAATCAGCTAATGGCCTTCACTTAACTGAAGAAAAAAACGCACGAGTATTTGTAGTATTTCCGATGAGTTTTTTATTTTTATTTTGTTTTTAGTTACAATTCAATGATTTATTAAATATTGGTTTTAATCAACTTTTTGTTGGTCTTTCCTATGCTAATGATCATTGGGTGGGAGGTCGTTTAATATGTAAATTAGTTGTGTACTTTTCAACAGTTTGTATGGGCTGTCTTCTTTGGCACCATTGTCTAATTGCTATACATCGGCTTATTGTTGTTGTTTATCCAAACTTATTACGCCGTATGTCAATCAAAACTTATATCATTGTTTCACTTGTCATAACACGAATATTACCTATACTTTGTTGTATACCATCATTTCTAACTGATTCAATATCGTATTCACATCAAGCATTACGTTGTTCAATACGTAATAAATTACAAATATTTATTAATTTAACTGTATTAATTTTATTACCAAATGTTATAATCATATTTTGTTTTCTTGGAATATTCTTTCATGTTTATCATGCATCATATACAAGTGGAAGAACAAATACACCATCAGTATCAACATCACATTCATTAAGACGTGAAATACGTATAACAAAAATGTTTGCAGTTTTATTTACATTATTTTTTCTTGGTTATCATCCGTATGGTTTTGTACGTGCATATGATAAACGTCGACAATTACATCCTGATATATTCGTTTTATTAACATTACTTTATTGTATATCAATATGTGCATCACCATTTGTCTATGGAATAATGAATAATCAATTACGTCATGAATGTATGAGAGTTATATTTAATTGTTGGCATTGTCAAAAAATTGATGATTATAGAAAATATTCTCATAGTCGTTTAAATTCAACAGTACCAACAGCATTAACAGTAATTCATGATAATGGAGATGATGGTCGAACTAGTCCATCAATACGTCATTTATCATCTCAACAAATAAGAAAAAAATCTTCAACTGCAACAATAGTTAATACTGCTCATGTTTAAATAAATGTTCCTTCTTTTTTTTTATATGTGCACTTTTCTTTTCTATTTCAATCTTCAGTGATATGATTATAATGCTAATATAGATTTCTCCAAAATATTGTATGTTATTGTTTCTAAAGTGAATATATAACAAGAGAAAATCGCATAAAATCAAGATTGAATTAAATATATATTTCTATTAATTACTATTGATGTATTCAATTTGATTAAAATTTAATATTCTCTGAATAGTAATAACATAATTGAATGATATTATCATGATACTTTGTTTTGTATTTATGTCTCAATCTGATATCTTATGAAGTTCTATTCTTTTTAATTATATCCATCGCCATCGATAATATTCCTTAGATTATCTTTATAATAATGCCAAAATCTTCTATTTCTAATTATTTTTAATTCTTAATTAGCAAATGTTAGATCTAAAATTTTCCTATTCGCATCAAATAGATCCTATTGTCAATTCAAGCATTCTTTTTTTCTCTCTATTTAATATTATTTTTATAAATGACTTTTTTATATTCACGATGATATAACAAACAACTTCAAAATATAAATATTCTTCTGTGTGGTTATTTTAAAGATTGAACAATCGAGCATTTCTTTTTTAGATACTTGACCTCAAAATACCAATCGTACTGTATTACCTTCTTTTCCTTGATATAAGCACTTAAAATGCTTCCATGAATTAAGTATACGTTTATACGAATGAATATTTCGTGCTATTAAAGAGTTCTAGAGTTATTTAATCATGTAGATACTATTTTTAGTCAATCCGGTATAATCTTTGTTATTAATCACTTGAAACACAAAAAGAAAAACTTCTTTACTATTCAAGCACATAACATGCACTTGAATAAGAAACATGAACGTGTAAGTAATAATACTAAATGATGGAAGAATACACTCAAGCGCCTGCATTTCCTAACAAAATTCTAAATTTTGCCTTAAGCTGTCCCTATAGTGCATGACTTTTATACTCATAGGAACAAGTTCAATTTGAGAATATACTAAAAAATCAATAACAGGAAGATCTATATTGATTGTTACTTCATTGTAAAAGATTTTTAATGTAATTTATTCATGATATATTCATGATAAATCAATTGTTGAAGGAAAGTTTATTATATTTAAAAATGAGTTTAATTTCATATCGATAAAATAAATCTTTTTTTTTGTTTTTCGGTAGATAAGATAATAAGAGACAAACAGTAATTATATATTCATTCATCCTTTCATGTCAACTAAAAAATCTAGAATAACTCTTTTGTATTAACTTTTTATCTGATTGTAGAAGAAAAAAGTAATTTCCTTTTAATGGATAATTCAGTATTTTTTCAAGCATTTTCATTAAAAACATAAATCTCATTTATTTTTAGTATTATAACATTATTTAAACTATTGATATTTCTATCCGATAACATAAACAAATAGACAGGCTTTTGTCATTTCGAAATATAATTATTATTGAACAGTCATATATTTGAACATTGATATACAAATTTACAAAATATAACTGTGTACCCATTTAGCTTATTCAAATCAATGGAAATATATATATATATATTTCTTTCTAATTAAAATTCAGAATGGGAACTCTACTTGACGAACTTACTAGATTTATCATAGGTCAGAAGCAAGTACTCAGTATATAAACCTAGTCATTGATTATTTTGCTGCATAGAATAAGCAATTAGTTTCATTGTTGAGAGATTAACTGTACTATATTCGATGCTAATCGAACTGTTTGATCTTATTGTATTAAATTTAACAAACATTAATTCATACAAGACTCATAAAACGGAGAGCTTTCTTAATAGATGTGCAACGATATCTTTTTGATATGGTGTCTATCGATAATTGTGTAAATTGAAATCTTAAAAGTATTGATACTATTTCTGATATTCATTAAAATATGATTATATTTATAGTTTTATGGCTTTATTTAAAATGAAATTCAAATTTTTTTTTATTACAATAGCATATAACTCTACAACAAAACGTTTATCTTTATCATACTAGTATAATAATGTGTGAGTGCTGGACTTTAACATTTTCACTGATAAATTGTTCAATGTAATTCATCTTAAAATAAGATAATGTTTTCGATTGACCTCTGTTTTATCTTTATTTTTTTGTTAAGCACATATATATATAATTAATTTCTAACTGTAGATTGTGAATTATGTGAAAAATTTCTCGTTCGTAACATGCATTGTATTACATACGTGATGTACTCTGGTACGTTTACTCTAAAAATATAACTGTATTACGTAAAGTATATTTACTTTCATCTACAAGTTGACTTAACTACTTTCTCACACCTGATCAAATATGTAAAGTAAATATAACCTCTATACACCCAATTAGAGATTGATTTTATATAATTCTTCTATAACTATATGATGTTGATATTTTTAGATGATTTGTTAAAAATTAATAAATTTCTTTTTTTTTTCTCCTAATCTTTTTAGATTCATTATTCTTTAACTGTATAATTCAGCCGATAGGTACAATACAGATTGAGTAAAGATTACATCATGTATGAATACATATTTCTTTTTCTTCTGTTTTTTTTTTTGTTTCGAAAGAAAGCATTCGTTATGATATTGACCTCAGCGTATGACATTAATTGTCATTGAACTTATCCTTAAGTTACAATGTAATCTATTGTATTTATCACAAACATTTTTGGAATGAATATAAGAAATAATTCTTGTCATTAGTGAACATATGCAATCATTTAACCAAGAAAAACTAGAGTCTAATTATCTTTTTCACATATATATGCATTGATTCTATCAGAAAAGAAGAAAAGGTTATGTTGGCAGATATTTATTGCACAGGTCATTGTGTGTATTGATGTTCGATTTTATAAAAAAAAAAAAAGAAGAGAAAAAGAGAAATAAAAGTACGCGAGAAAGAGAGCATAAGAGATTAGAATACTATAAAGTGGTACACTATTTGTTGTCAGGGTGAACGAACAAGTAAGGTTGATTAAAAGTATAGTAGGTCAACAATTCGTTTCTTTTGACAAAAAAAAAGAAGCATAAAGAATTTCTTCAGATATGGCTATGATATCAATGGAATTTACTTTGGTTATTATTCTTATTTTATTTATATTCATTGTTAATATTTTTCATATATTGTATTTAATTATACGTAAAAATGGAAAACAATTTCGATTTTTTCGTTCAATACTTATAAATTCGTCTTTTTCATCGTTAATTATTGCTCTATGGCTTATACCATTCTTTTATTTTCGTATACATGCGTCACCAGAATCATTAGAATGGCGTCTATGGTCATTTACATTTCATATTGTTGATGCTGTTCAACTTTATTCACTTCTTTTACTTGTTGCTCATACAAATTTTATTAATCTCTCATTACAACGATTTCTTATAGGTCTTAGTTGGTTAGCACCTATTATTACCTATTCACCATTATTATGGTTATCATCTTCATATAATAAAATGGATCATTTACCATTTCGTAGATTATCTATTAATATACCTTGGTGGATATTACCTACATTATATTCTAGTATGTATCTTGTACCAATATTTATTTCATTTGTTTTAATTGGTATAATAATATGTTGGCCATGGATTTATAAATTTTATAAAAAACGAGAAAATCTATCTCAAAGACAAACCAATGAACATCGAGAAAATATGGCAGAATTAACAAGTCTTGTTGAAACTGTTTTAAGTTTTGAATTAGATCAATCAACAATGAGTACAATTAATGTAAGATAATATATTTTATTTATTTTTGTAAAAAAATTTTTTTTTATTATTTAGACATGGCTTCCTTCAATATCATCATCTAGCAAAGAACAAACATCTTTATCCGATATTTCAACTAAACTCAATCGATCATTATCATATAAAGTCTCTCAAGATCATTCATCTCTTTTATTTGATGATCTTTCATCATCATCCATACAATTAAATAATTATATTGAAAAAGCACAATTACAAGTTAATTATTATCTATTATTTATTATAACATGCTTATTACTTTTTGTTCATATGCCATATGCAATTTTATCATTAATGGATATTTATACATCTCATTTACCAATATTTATTTATATACATTGGTTCGGAACATTATGTATACCTCTCATACATTTACAAAAAAACTAATGTTTTCTCCAATCCATATCGTTTGTAGCGTATTGTTGCGTATTTTGTTTAGCAAAATCAGGATTAAATTGGGAATTATATCGTCTTTTACGATCATTTGTTTCAACAGGAACGACTGGTTCAGGTGTATCTGGTGTTGATTCATTACCAGTAAAAACACGTGATAAATACGCAGCAGTTTTTGTACGTTCTTGTGATTCACGTTTTAATCTAAGAATTGATTGAATAGAAAAAATAATGAACAAAATAAATATATTTACCTTTCAGCTCGTAATTGTTCAATACGAGATGATGATGATGATGATGAAATTGATGAAGTCGGTTTTTTAACATTCGTAGAAGAAGATTTAGTTTCATCGTCACGTTTTCGTTTTAAATCATCGACATATTTTGACATATGATTGAGAGGATCTTGTTTTTGAATACGTAAACGATCACGTTCTTCTCTAGAAAAAAATTTAATGAATACTTTATTTCGATTCTACATAAATCTATTAAATATTTTGTATTGAATTTAAAAAATATAATTACTTATCAACTTTAGGTACTTCTTTCGATGTGAGTTGTTTGTTTGCTCCTCGTTCCATATACCATGGAACATTTCCTAAATAAATAAATATTTTTTTTTCTTATCAGTGATATAAAAGAAGGGTCCGCTACACTTTGCCGACAGGTTTTATTTTGCCGACAAAAGTTTGAGGGTGAGAGTGTGGGAATATCTGAAATAGAGCGCACCCACAATCACACCCACACCCTCACCCACCCACACCTTCAAGATAGAAGAATAATTGTAACATACCTTTACTTTCTACAACACTACCACCAAGGTACGTTAATAGACCTAATTTTTTCTCGAAGTCTTCTGTTTCAGCTTTTTTTTCTTTTTCATGTTCAGCATTAGTAGCATCATGGGCTTTTAACTAAATATAAAACAAAAAGTTTATTTTTATGATTGAAATTATACATACGCCTTGTTCTTCAAGTTGAAATAAATTAACATGCTCTGTGGGTTTTTGTGATGCTTGATCTGCGCTTTGAAATTGAATTAATTGATCACCGCGGTTAGCACGTAAATGGTTAAGACGATCTTCTTGTTCCTTTGAAAAAAAAATCATCATATTAGAATAAATAAAATTAACTTTAGTTGATTATTTACAGCTAAAGTTTTTCTTCGTATTGCTTTTTCTTCTTCATCAGCTGCTTTTTTTTCATCACGTAAAACTCGTGCAATATTATCTTTATTTCTAACATGCCAACGTTTTTTTGGTAAAATATTCATATCTACAAAGATAATTGTTTTTTTTAATTATACATAGACAAAGCTATTAGATATAAGATTTTTGTTAGTTATGTTTTCGATAATTAAGAATAAATGAAAGAAATATTTCACATTACAAGCACTAGATAAGAAATAATGTTTAATTAATTATGATGTTTCTGTAGTTAAAGGATCTTTTTTTTCATCTGTATCAACTTGTTCATCATTTGAAATTGAATGATCAGTACCAAGATTTAATTGTGTTTTACGTAAATTCCAATGAAGTATATCGGCTAAGGATTCAAACCAATCACCTAATTGATCAAACCGACAAATTGATGGTATTGGATAAACACTTGTTGTTATTCGTACACTAAAAATAATTAACAAATATAATATTTATTGATGATTCCCTTGCTTTACCTGTCTTGTTGTTGTAATTCATGTCGATTTCGTCCATCAACAGAAAGCCATGCAGTAAGACGAGTATCTTCAGAAACTTTTACTTTCAGTTCAATACCGGCAGGAACAACAATTGGTCGAAATGATAAGGAATGTGGGCAGATAGGACATATAACCATCGCAGGTACATTTGGATGAACCATAGAAGAACCAGCTATGAAATGTTCAGATTGATATATGATTTAAAGAAAAAGGATAATAAGAGAAACATACCAGCCATTGCATAAGCTGTAGAACCAGTAGGTGTTGAAACAATCAAACCTATAAAACAATTAATGTATCACTTCGTTAAAAAATAGAAAAATCAATCATTGTTGTTCTATAGAGATTCACATTCAGTTTTTGTTACTTACCGTCACCTTGCACTTTTGTAATAAATCGATCATTAATATATAAATCAAGATTTGATAAATATGAATTTGGTCCACGATCAATCACAACTTCATTTAATGCTAAATGAGATATTTTTTCATCTTTATTTGATTGTTTTTGCTTGTCATCATTTGTTAAATCATCCGATGAAACAGAATGAAATGATGCTTCTGATGAAGATTTTTTTCTTGAACCTTCTTTAACAATTGAGCATTTTAAACGTGTACGTAATAAAACAGCAACATTTCCAGATATAACTTCATTTATAATTTTTTCATGATATTTAAAATCGAATGGAGTTAAAAATCCAAGTGAACCCATTGAAAATGATAAAACAGGTGGACAACTTTTTTGAAACATACTTGATGCATGTAAAAGTGTACCATCACCACCCAAACAAATGATTAAATCAATTTTTGTCATATCATTTTCTAAAATATAAAAATGAATATACAATAAAGGAGTATTTCCAACAAAAATACCATGATCAAAAGCCAGACAACGTTCAGCATGTTCTTTTAGTTCAGCATCATTAGCAAATGGGAGATGCATATGTTCAGGCATTTCAACATAAACATTTAGACGACGCTGAAATAAATATGAATTTAGTTTTTGTAGAAAATGTTAGAAAGGCTTACCGGAATTTTACCAACAAGACATTCGCTCGGTAGCGAAAGTCTTATTAGCAAAATTCGGAAACCCTCTTATAAATTTTTTGGATGTTAAAGATTACGGAGTAAAACTTTTTCTACAAAATAGGGTATTATTATTAGATAAATATATTTGTTTTTCTATTAGTCGAATGTTTCAATCATTTGAAATAAGTTCATATTTACTGGATTTATTTTATGTTTGATTAATAGCGAGAGAAATATGAATAGATAGATTTCTCAATTGTGCTTTCTGTATTATATTTTACTTTAAGAAGTTTTAGGACTAATTGTCGAAATTCTGGCAATGTTTGTGGTCCTGGTTTACGTATAATAAGAATATTGTTTGGAGGAGATATCCAATGTAATCGTTGGGTAGATGGATCTTGAATAACACTAGAATGAAAGATTTATTTAGAATAAAAATAAAAGTTAAAAAAGAAATACTTACATAAGTTGTTCGTTATTTTGTATCTTTTTAAGTGTAGCTTTTGGACCAAAATTAGATTTTGGTGATGGAGCAAATGCTGATCGTGCACGCCTATATAATAAAAGATAGAAAAATAAAATAATAATTATCATAGAACTAAATAATCATTTAATTAATTATGTATGTTTTATAGAATTTACCTCGTTTTACTATTATCCACTGACATCGAGATCGATCGTCTGGATAACGAGGTGGGAAGTGGTGATGTCATTATTCTAGTTAAAGAGATTTCGCGCCGCAAACAAGTAATGGTATTTAAACAGACAAAAACACGTCGATAGAAGAACATTTTTTCACGCACATAGAGGAAAGCTATGAAGTACAGAGAAAAACAGCAATTGGTTAAATATTCTTTTATCTATAATAAAAAGCATATTTTAAAGCGTTATTTTTCTTTATAAATGAACTCTCTTTCTTAACTAGGATATTTATATTCATGCGATAAGGCAGGCGTTTAAATAAAGGTAGAAACACAAAAACTAACCAGTATGTTCTTGCTAGCGGTCGATTGCTACATTGTGGTAACGGAGAACACATATAACCATCACCTTCACATTTTATTATATATTGACTATAGTCTGTTATTGGATCATCAACAATAGTTTCAAGTTCAGTAGCTTCAATCATTTGTAGTGGAGAATCTCCAACACTAACTGATCGTCGTTGAAAACTAGCGATTCCTTTTATTGCGCCAGAATCATCATTATCACTCATTGTAATTTAGCAATATAAAAAATGCTGTAATCAAATATTAATCTTAATAATAATAAAAAAAAACAAGCAGATATTAATAAGATTCTTCGAATAGGCGTTCTACTCTCTTCTATAAGAGCGTCAACCTTACACAAAGACTTATCTTAATTCGATTAGTATTTATTAGTGCTTTTTCTTCTATGAACAACAAATCAAACAAAAGATAAAGATGTACTTTATTTCTTTTTTTTTATATATTTATTAGTACGTATGTTAGTGTACTACAATTTATCAATTTTTATTTTTCCAGCATTTCGTTTTTGAATTTGTCCTAAACGATATTCATTATCCACACGTTTTGCTGTACCCAAACGTCGAGCATGAAAATTAAGTGCACCACGTGAACATACAACAGGTAACTGACGATGTTGAGTTGGTATTTGTTCATTACTCACAACACTCATAGATGGACATTGAGCAAATGTTCGGGCAGATCGTAATGCATGTGTTGGTAATTGTAAACGTGTTTTTGGTAAAAGACGAGCTATATTCGCTTTATTGGATGCTGTCCGTGAACTAATTATATCATCTTCTTTGGTAATGTTTGTTGGAAGAATTGGATTTATTGGTTCTTGTGTTTTGACTTTTTTTTGATTAAGTTCACGAAGAAATGGATCTTTGAAAAGTTTCTTTTTCTTCGATACTTTTTTTGTTAGAACTTTCTTCTTCTTCCGTTTATCATTAAACGATTGTTTCATTGTATTTCAAAAAAAATCGATGATGTGAAGAAAGAATTATTCTTATTAGTCAAGTGATCTGAATATCTAATTAAGTATTAGGAGTGGTTAGTTTCTTGAGCAATTAAAATGATAAATAATGTTAGTAGTATTTATATTTCGATAGAGGACGTCAAGTTACATTTTGGATTGGTGTTGTTTTTTTTATAGATGTCATCATAATGTGGATAAGACAATAAAATATTTCGAAATATGTTTGTTGTTTTTATATTGTAAACAACTTCAAATAATTACTAAATTATCGTAGAAGTTCTCTATTTTGAATGATAAACATTCATTAAAGAAAAGTTATTGACGTGTATATTAAATATGTATTTTTTCAGTAGTAATACTTCTTATTTTCTTCAGCGTTGTATTCCTAATTATCCCAACAGTTGGTTGATAACATTTCAATGTGAATAGTCAATTGCGTGATGAATCATTGATGAATTTCATAAGTTTTCTGTCTGTTGGCTATAATTATTTTTATTTCCTAACAACGATGATAATGTTGATACAGTCATTACATTAAGCGAGTGTTGGTGGTGAATCTTAAATGAACAGAAAATATATATTTTGTTCAAGAAAAATTAGAGGCTCTATATACAGTAGCAGATGATTCATAAAGAAATTAAGAAAAAATCCAAACGTATGTAACGCGTTAAAGAAGAAACCACTAGAGCAGAACGAAAGAAAAATGCATATGTGAAGAGTCCAATCAGTAAATATTATAGTTACACTCTTCTAAAGTGAACTTAGATGACCTGTCTTGTTAAAAAGTAAAATTTTGTTAGCTGTTTTTTGTGTCCTTGATGTTGACTCTGACATCCTACACTAACAGAAGCTCTCCCTACCATTTCTTATGATTAATATCGATTGTTTCTCTCTGTGTCAACTATATCATAACTCATATTCAGTAGGATGTGTTTTTCTCAGGATAACTGTTATTTCACAAAAATCTTCTAAAACAATTAGTCAACACCAACACGATACTTTCCATCTTTGATCCCTCATGTTACGTTTGTAGTCATACACAAAACACAAATAACCGAGCAAGACATGCATTGAGATACGAATATTTAATTTGCAACGTTATCCTTTATGTCGATTCATGTTTACTATACCGTACTGAACTTTTGTAGAATGCAGATTTTTTTTTTCGTCTTATTACTTCAGTTTTCTATATAAAACAATAAAACATATATATTATGAAAAGCATCTACTACCCTTAAATATCTGTAAACTTATAAAGGCTATTTTATAAAAACTGGTAGTTAGTTTCAAAACATGAATTATACTTTCTATTTCAATGTACATATAATTCATTGGATCAGAAATTAGAATAAGATTGTTATGACTCATATTAAATAAACTGCAAAAACCCATTCTATGAAATACAGATAACTATTCATAGACAAATAATGCTAATTCAGTTAATTAGAAAGTAAATGAATGAATTGCATGTGGAGAAGGTTAAAAAAAATTGAAAACATATAAATCTTACATCATTATTTTTTTTAATTGTATATTGTTCGTTTAGCCTTAGTTATCGTATTAAAAAGATTTTTCAAAAACAGGAAAATTTAACGTTTAAAATGATGTAAATTTATTTGTTCATCAATGAGAAAACTATACATCGGTGGATTTGGAATGTATAACGAAAGACATTATCGAGAATAAAGATAGAGTTTATAATGAAACTATAATAAGAAAAAACCAATTTTTATATCACCGATTATAAATTATCAACATTTAATCTAACTCATACTTGTATATTATATAAACATAATGATATTGAAAATTTTATTAGAATAGTAATGGCAACTATGTATATTTTTTATATCTTTCTTATTAAAGATAAATCAACTGTATATTACTATAAATATGATTATTACATGATATAACAGAAAAAGAAAAATATTTGCTTTAGATTATTACGAAATTCAATTATTTCAAAAAACCATTTGATTGAAAAGTATATATATTATAAAAAATAATAACTTGCATCTGTACTTCATTTATAAAAGAAATAATCTGGTACCAGAAAAAATGATATTTAGAATGTACTTTTATCATTAAAAATTTCGTATTATTATTTTTCATAATGCAACACCTACACAATATTAAGAGGAAATATGAGAAAAGCGTCATATGTAATTTCTTAATGGGAAAAAACAAAATAACAATGATTGTTTTTTTGTATCATATGTGAGTAGGAGGATGCCTATTCAGAATAAACTATCGGGGAATGACAGGTGGGAATTAAACAAAACACATATCAAAGTCAGCGAAATTTCGGTTTTGTTTTTCTAATGAAAAAATATGAATAACACAAGTGAAGGACGTCACCTTGTCGATTCTTTTTAGTATAGCAACATAAATTATTAAGATATGGTGCCCACATACCATTTAAGTTATTCTGTTCATGTGTAATTAAGAAAAAAAAATATATATATAACTATTATCATATGGAGACTAGTAATTTATTCGAAATTTACGATTGAATGACTTTATCGTCCATAAAATGTTACTAGAAGAAAAAAAAGGTGAAGATTTATAGGTAATTTCTCTTAATGTATATGTATATGACTGATGAGTATCATCATACAGTATAGTTTACATCATTACATGATAAAAAAAAAACTTGCATCATGCGCAGTCGTAGTTACATTTACATTTTTTTTCTTCTCTCTCATTTTCTCTCGAGTATTCGAGCCTATTCTTTTTCTTTTTTGCTCTCCGTTTTTCTCTTAGTGACGCAGTATTGTAGATGTATACTTGAAGTAAATTGCGTTTCGCAATAACTGTCATCACATGACGATGTACGTAGGCGAATTGTGGAAGACGAAGCTTCTCGATTTTTTTCTTCTTCTCTTTCTTCTCTGCTTCGTCATCGAGAAAAATCCAACATACATAATAAATGAGAGAAATAATAGAAAAAAAGAGAGGGAGAAGAAACGAGAGAACGCGACAACATGTATATAAATGCAGCAAACAGCATAGTATATTTCATTCGCATCGTCGACTACCCCATTTGGTATTAGTTTTCTTTTTCTTCGTCGTTGATCAAAAAAATTTTTTTATCAATGTGAAATTACAATCAACAACGACGACGGTAATATACCGCGTCGATGGCAAATAAGGTAAGTGAAAACAGATTTTTTTTCTTTTGCGCATAAACAAATCCACATACATATCGTATGATGGTTCGCTTCTTTTACCTTATTAGAATAGACTATCAACATCGACCCATACAAAAAGAAAAAGAAATATTCAGGTTTCTTTTTATTTTTTTATGAGAATGTTTCTTTTTTCTTTTATAGTTTGAATATTATTACATAAGATATATCCATTAAAAAAAAAGAATCTGATGAGTCCCTATTCTTTTCTTTTTGTTTCTTTCTTTCTTTATGTATTTAGTATAGTTCAGACACAATTTTCCTTTTTAGTTAACGGGACAGTAATACAATAATTAATCGGCCATTGTTAATTCATCATATGATATGCATAAAGTGTCGAGTATACATACACAAATATCACTAAGATATAAGAAAAAAAAACAGAATAATCATCTGTCCTCTGGTAGGGCATCTATTGTTTTATTGCCCAATATTGTTCTACTCTAGTTATGATACGCACACACACATATATGAAATGATCTATTTATCCATAAATATGAATGGTGGTAGGATATATTTAAATAATTCGGCAGATTTTTTATCATATAGTTACATAAAAAAAATCCATATACCATAATCAATGATATTCAAAATATGGTAAAATATTTTTAATTTTCGTCAAGATTTTGTTCATATATAGAACAAGAGAAATACTTACAGCATCAATTTAATATCATCTCGGAGATTGTTCCACCTATGTGTGTGGTAAGAAGATTTTGATCGCACATCGTCAACCTTTTATACTTAGTTACTACATATCAAAGACCAAATTAATTAAATACGACTTGTTATTTTTGCAAAAAAAAAAAAATTTTTTCTTTTCTGGCATTTATATATGTTAAACCAGGTAGAATTTTTGTTATTCAAAACAATTGTTTATTTACATAGAAAGAAAAGAAAAACATAATACGCATAATACATATTTGTCATGTTTGTTAAAAAAATGTACAAATCAAGATTGTTTTAATGGCCTATAAACGTGAGCCTATTTGTTTACCCTCAAGTGCAATTTGCGACATTGTAGGTTGTGTGTTCTCGAGAAAAAAAGAAGATATTATCGTGTCCAAAATTAACTTTCGTCGGTCATTCATTCGTGTGAAGTTTACAGAGAAGCAAAAAAATATTTCGATTAGAATAAAATTTTGGCTGGTTCGTCGTTTTCAGGGTAGCGTTCGTGCGCGCATAACGTGCAAGAAGTGGGCAGCCAAACGCCTGGACGAGTCGTAATTAGACTCTCTATGTGCAGCAATATATGTTCGTTGTAACATCAAAAACGGTGGATAGTACAAGAAAAAATAAATACTAAATTGATCACAAAAAAAAGAAAAGAAAAATTAACCCGTAAGCAAAATTTACGCTAATTTAAATGCGTTCATTTTCAAGGGCAGAATCAGCAGCATCAGCATCAGCAGCAGATGAAGAAGAAACCTAATGTACATGCTAAACTAAGAAGTAACCTATTTTTATTCGTGGACCAACAAAATGAGTATTTGAAGTATTTGTTCAATAATAAGTGAGATTATATTAATTATATTCAACCTATGGCTTAAATTTCAGAAAATCTAATTTTGCGATTATTTAAAAATTCTTATTATGTAAGTCTTTATATCCGGTACTTTACTCTGGTTTATATATTAAATACCTTTAGTTCTCAAAAAAAAAATATAAAATGAGAAATATGTTCTCATTATTCCGAGAACAGAAAAAAAAAACAAACGTCTCTACAAACTAACAGAAAAATTACTAAGAAATAATAAATTCATTTTGTCAAGTTGTTTCTATGTAAGTTATTTCCAATATTTA